TTAAGCAATTGTATATTATTTTGGAAATCTCTGAGAAAGGCCATTTACTTTCCCACATATCTGTTATAAATCACACTGTCATTGTTTATATTTGAATGAAGCCCACTTGATTTTTGTGAAACGAGCAGGTACCCGATGGCAAGAACAAGTTGGAGAGTATTACGTTGCAGTAAGACCTGTTTCCCCATTCCCAGAATCATCTTAAGTTTCCTAAACTGAAAAACAAAAAAACCAAATACTTGTAAAATTAATGTCCACTTTATGCCTCCCTCCTGACAGTAAATTACTTACAGGGTATAAAACACACACACACACACACACACACACACTCTCTCTCTCTCTCTCACTCACTCTCTCTTTCTCTCAGACACACACACTTGAAGGGAAAAAATTCCAAGTAAAAAAAGTATAGCAGAATCTAACAATCATTAGCAACCATAAAATTACCAAGATTATTACTGTTAGCTTTTATTAAGCAGCTATGTATACTACCTGCATTTCTTCTTTTCCTGTTCTGGTCCCTCTGTACCACTGTGGCTGCCTTGTTAGGTGGCTTACATGCTTGGGTCCATTTTTTTTTTTCTAATTATGCTTAACTTTATGGGGACAAAGACTGGTGAAATTTCTCCAAAAACAGACTTCTTATTCTTAGTACTTTATAGGCTGATATTGAAGCCAAACTTAGGACATCTTACCAAAATGCATGTGATAAAAATTATGTTGTCAAATAAAAATCATTGCCTTCACAATATATATAGCATTCTGCATAGTATTCACAGTAAGTATTTATTAAAACAAAGATACATGAATGAACTCCCAAGAGGGCACCACAAAATACCAAAATCCAATCCTGTCATGATCTAGTTGAAAGACATGATCTTTTAAAGTAATGAATGTACCTTGAAGAAATGTTTTAGGTCAAATAACATGAAGGAAAACCTCTATTTTAAGTGCTATAATTAAGATCCCAGGTATAAAGTAATATAAACCAAGTACCTGAAGTTATAACCAATAAAAAACACACAGGTAACTCTTAATTGTCTTTAGAAAATAGACATTCAACCAAGCGGAAAAGATACCATAAAATCATTAAATAGCATTTATGAAACTAAAAAAAAAAAGTCAGTAGCCTACAGACTTTGGGAGAACTTGTGTTCCTAGAGTACGAATACATATTGTTTAATCAGTACACACTTATTAGGATTTTTCAGGTCTATCATTAGTTAGAAATGGCCATCACAGCTAAAGGCTACAAAACCTAATAAATGAGAAAATTACTGACGAGATTATTAATGGTTGAGAACAGTTGTATATAGCAAACAAAATATCTCTGAAAAAAATAGACCTCAAAGGATGTAAGAAGCCAAAAGAGATCACAGAACTATAGAATGCTAAGTTAGAAAGAACACAAAAGCTCAACCATGCTTCTGAAATATTTGCAGTCTTCGAAGAAACAAACCATGAATGAGAACAGTTACAATCAAAACAAATTCCATACTTTTACAAACAATACTTTCAGGAAAATAGAGTTGTGGGGGAAAATAAAGAACAAAACACAAAATTTCTACATAGAGAAATAAGTGCTACGATCCTCACTTAGTCAACAAATATTTGCTGAATGCATTTGTGTGCTACACGCTGGTGGTATAATAACAACTAGGACAAAAATGGCTCCTTCAGGGAACCCCTATTCTAGTAGTTGCAAGATCTAGTTCAACATGTTTCTCAAAATAGGGTGAATTGAAATCATCCAGATCCAAGTTCAAAATTCAGATGCTCCATCCTCAGGAATTCTGACTCAGTAAGTCTTGGGTGGAACCCAAGAATGTACTTTTCAAAAGCTTTAGTGGAAAGAGAAATTTTAGCTCTATTAATTAGCTAAACAGATTTTAGCACCCTTATTTTAGAGATGAAATAGACAAGTCTGTTTTAAGGGTTTATTCTAAAGAATGAAATATTTTTCAAAGTGCTTCACGCACACTACCTGACACAGGTGTATTCAAAACGCAACTATGAAACAACAATATGAGTCTGAAAATCTAGATTCATATTTAACTCAGATGCTTACTCAATATATAGCACCAGACAAGTCATTTAACATCTGTGAGCATTAGTTTCTATCTCTAATTTGTGGGTAATATTTGTACTCTTTACCAGAGACACTGGAAGAAAAAACTTGCATATTTTTATTAGGCCACAAAAAATACCACATAAAGTTAAGAGAGACTACCGGCACTGTTAGTTATAGCAAAGTATACAAAACTGTAATCCTAAAATAAAGGGAAAAGACTTACGAGGAAAAAAATTAAGCAAAAAAAACTTTTTACCATATTTATCCAACAAAACGTCCTTATTCAAGAGCTTAAGTACCAACTGTGTGCCACCTAGAGAGTAACTCCCAAATGTCAACCAGGAATACAGTCTCCATAAACACATTATTAATATCACCAATCTTAACACTGCTTTGAGGGTTGCACAAAGACAAGGTGGACATAGTCTCAGAAGTAAACATTGGCCAGAAAGACTAGATCACCTAATCCAACCACCTCTTTAGTTCTTACAACTCTTTCTGTAACAATCCCAACAAATAACTCTCTAATTTCACTGGTCAGAAACCTACCAATTGTAGAACAATCTGAGGAGCTTTGATAAGTATAGATTCTGAAATTCTGATTCACTAAGTCCAGGGGAGAGTTTCAGGACCTGTTGGGGCAATATGCCTTCCAAGTGATTGTGAAGTGCAGCCAGAATCTAGCCTCCAGGGATGCTGCCCTCACCAGCCAATTCTGCATTTGGACAGTGCAAGTAATCTGATGTTGGATTGGAATCTTCCCACTTTAGTTTCCATCGTAGTCCCAGTTTACTGTGGGTTCCAAATACAACACAACTTAATCCATCTCCAGATTAAACATCTCCTGTTCCTTCAAATAACCTACATATATGTTCCACACCAGATAACCCTAAGTTTGTCCACATTTTAATATATGGCACCCAGAAGAGAATACAATCCTCATGTAAAATACAATGGGGACACTCTTTCATTAAAGTTACAATCTTCCCATCAACACAGCGTATGCGTGCGTTTTGTGAAAGTGTGGCCATGTCACGGTAGGTGTTTTATGGGGTTTTTTGTTTTTGTTTTTGTTTTTTTTAAGAGAGAAAAAGTGAGCAAGCCTGAGCAGGGGTTAGGGGATGGAGAGAGGGAGAGGGAGAGAATCTTAAGCAGGCTCCATGCCCAGTGTGGAGTCTGATGCAGAGCTCGATCTCACAACCTGGGATCATGACCTAAGCCAAAAATCCGACATTTAACCAAATGAGCTGCCCAGGTGCCCCACATTAAGTTATTTAATAAGCATATTAAAAAACAGTTTGGAATATATTTTGGAATAATTTTATATTTATAAATATATTTATATTTATACAAGCGGCAGATATATTACTGCAAGCTCCCACACATTCCCCTCATCCAGTTTGTTTTCCTAATGTTAACATGCCCAGTGGCCGTAATACATTTACCCAAACCAAAAATGAGCTGTTTAATTTTTAAAATTACATCTTTTTACACAAATTACTTTCCTGAACCCCATTTCCTTTTTCCTGAACACAGACTTTTAGCTTTAGTTTTTCTTTCATTACATGATGCTATTATAGGCCCTTATCAGTGCAAGATTTCACCTTGCCAGACTGACTCAAGATGAAATAAAATGTCCTATACTTAAGATTTTTGAGGTCCTATACATATGGTATTTTGAGTCAAGATCCAGTTAGATAATATCACTATTGTCATGAGACTCATGCCATTCACATATCTGGTAAGCAAGACTTCTATGCTTTTATACAATTCAACAGGCCAACTCCTGGGGTAATATAAACCCCCCTTGGGTTGCATGAAGTAACTTCTAAGGCATACCATCAATGAATTACAAATCCAACCAATTATCTGTATATCCAGGTATTCTTCATGCAAAGATATACCCTGTGTGAGGGAGTATCTGACCTACTGCATTCTCCACATTTTCTTTTTACTAGTCTAATATGTTTGCATGTTCTGCTTCCTTTTTTTATTTTATTATGTTATGTTAATCACCATACACTGCATCATTAGTTTTTGATGTAGTGCTCCATGACTCATTGTTTGCGTATAACACCCAGTGCTCCATGCAGCTCCATCACCAGGCTAACCCATCCCCCCACCTCCCTCCCCTCCAGAACCCTCAGTTTGTTTCTCAGAGTCCATAGTCTCTCATGGTTCATCTCCCCCTCTGATGTCCCCCCCTTCATTTTTCCCTTCCCTATCTTCTTTTTTTTTAACATATAATGCATGTTCTGCTTCTACAGGTAAAGATTAAAGAAAAAAAATAGACTGTCTATACAATAAAAAGGAATGCATTCCCCCAATGACTCTGAAACACTTAGGATAAAAAGGAAATTTTCTAAATTTAACATCTACTGCCAACTCACTGAAGCAGTTAGTGACCATGTGTGAAAACTGGTGCTCATGGGTAATCCATAGAGAATTCCTGATGAATCACAAACTAAAACCACAACAAATAGCAAGGTGGTATCGGTGGTATTATTTCTCCAAGAAGAAAAAATAATTCAATTTACCCTATTGAAATTAGTACTAGCCTTAATTTTAAGGCTTAGGGAACAAAATGGCACAAGATAGCAATTTACTATTAAAATCCCGATTAAAAAGGGTAATTTAGACATGTGGACCCAAATATAGCTAATACTCAGCTATATCATTGCCAGAAGATTTTTTTCTAAACACTTTACTTCTCCTCAAAAAATGTCAATAATTTCCAATTCTATTTATCTCTGGAAACCAGGTTGTGGAATTAGTTTTTAAATTGCAAAATAAAATCGACAATGCTTTCAGAAAGGCTGCAAACTCACAACCTTCCTATCATACTAATGAGTTCCTTATAATGGGAAAGACACTTTTAAAAACTTTCAAAAAGCATCAATATATCAAAAACAAAACTCTTTAAACTTACCTCGTAGTAACTCCGAACTGCATTGCAAAATGCTTCATCAGCCACAATTTGGGTTTCTCCGTTGAGGAAGGCCTGGAACCGGTCTTTCAGTAACTGCAATTGTTGCTTGTTAAGCTGTAAGAAAAAGAGGGAATTAGCTGAAACATTAGTCAATCAGAGAAATATAACAATTCTTAAAAATTATTGCTGAAAGTTAACACCTAGAACTAGCTTTATGTTAAAGGGAAAAAAAAAAAAAAGGTAAAAAACTACTACTCGTACCATAGCTCAATTTTAAAACGTTTCCAATTCACTTCTCATACTCTGGAATCCTAATATTGCAATGCACTATAAATTTCTACACCAGATGGAGTTCCTGTGTTTACTACCCCAGTCTCTTTACAGAAGCAGGTAAAATCTAAAATTCAGATGAGAAATGAACTGTGGTGCAAAATTGCCAGTTGTCCTGAACAGAGAGAGCAGAGAGGACAAGTATCCCTGGCAATGGGTGAACAGGAAGGGAGAGCAGAGAGTACAGAGGAACCCCGATCAAGAATCCTCTGGAAAGAACATCTTTTGATGCCAAAAGTTTGGATTCCATGCACATACCTCAATGCTCGAGGTGAGACAGACAACTGATGAGGAGACAAATCCTGAGAACAGAGAGGCAATAGGCAGACAGGGAGTGCATGTGTAAGCGCACCAAGGGAAGAGCCGTATACCAGGGGAGGGGAGAGTTCAAGCGCACAACCAGATTTCCTCACCCTGGGTCTGACTGCCATCATTACTACTGAGGGTGGGTGGGACATGAACCATGACTTACCAACCATGTCCTCTGGTCCTCAGCGACAAGCAGGGTCAGCTACTTAATTTGTAGGGCTCAGTGCAATGTGAGTATGAGGAGCCCCTTGTTAAAAAATTACGAATTTCGAGATGGTAGACACAGAGCTTTACACCAAGCATGGGCCCTTCTAAGCACGGAGCCCTGTGCAACTGTGACCCTGAAGTCAGCCCCGACCATGGGGCACAGACTTCACCAGAGGTGGGGCACCGGAGGTCAGGCATTGAAAATGCTCAACCGCTGAGAGAACACAGTCTTGCAGATAAAACCACACAATCCCAAGATACCATAAGGAACAGGAAAAGAGTGATCTTTCCATTTCATTTGATCCTCATCCCACTATTGAAGAACTCAGTCCAGTTCTGGATTCTACAGAGAGATGGGAAGCATTTGGAAATATGCTGAGGAGAAAATGATGGAAGGATTAGGAGAGGAAGACAAACTGGTAGGATTTGGTTTCAAAATGAAGGCTGATGTGACCTCAGCTTAAATCTGTTCAAAAGGCTTATTTAAATGCCATTCAAATAGGAGACAAGTGCTTTCCAAAAAAAAAAAAAAGCCCCCCCCCTTTTTTTTTTTAATTTTTTTATTCCCCCTTTTTTTTAGATCCAGGAATCTAATAAGACAGTTTGTAGAGAAACTGTTGCTGGTAGTAACAGACCGGTAGAGAACGGTCCTATTGCACCCAGTGTAAGAAACCTCTTCCCCTGAGCAGGAATGGAAAAAGACCACTCTGTTTAAGGTTATGTCCTTCATTTTAGGGAAAGCTAAACCAAGCTCAAATGCAGAGCCATCACCATTATATCACACTTTCTGCTTCTGTCATATGGAGAGCGTCAAAGCAGGGACCTTTTGTGTGTATGCAATGGTAAGGCCAAGTAAGTCCACGACTTCAGCTCTCGAAGCACGGCTCAGAAAAGGACCAGATGGAAACAGGATGGCAGTTGCTGAGAGCAAGACAGCTGAGAGCACTTTAGCTGCCAAGCCCAGGAGCTGCTAGGAAGCGCTTCAACTTGAAAACCAAGTGTCCAGGTAACATAATGGACATGGAAAAATGTAGAAATAATGGACTGGAGGGGAATCTTACTGAGCCTTTGCCCCATCTCTGTCATTTGATTAAAAAAAAAACAAAAAAAATAATCTTCAAAACCTGAAAACCCAATTTTCTTTCATCAGATGCATTCTGTTCTCTAGTGTTTATTTCACCACTGTACCAAGGAGTTACTTTTTGGGGATTATGGCATGGAAAATTCATGAACACCAAGGAGATCTGAGCAAACGATCTTCTTGGAAACTCCAACAATGTTGGCATAGTTCACAAACGTGCCAGAAGCACCTGGCTAAATATCAGACTTCAACGTTTATATGAACAACAGTTACTGCAGTTACATTTAAAACCTAAAATGTCAGCCAATATTATGGTGATATATAAGAAGTCAATCAATAAGTACTTTTTAAGTAGAGAGGTCTGTATTTCCACAAAAGATTTGGAGGAAAAAACCTGAATTTTAAATCTAGCTGCAGGGATAGCCATTTGGAATGCAGAGCTCCCTTAATTCTATTTGCATTATCAAAATAAACCATATTATACATCAACAGAACAACTAATGGAAAAGACCCAAGAATTAGATCCAAATGCACTCAGAAATGTACTAGAAAATACCATTATAGCACCTCAAGTCAGCAGTAAAAGATGGTCTATTCAATCAATGGTGTTAAAGTAACTGGGTAGCCAAGCAAAAAAGAAATTAAATTGTACCATCACACATACTGTTACGTTAAAAGTTTTAATTCACTGGAACTATAAAAAGATGAAACTGTAAAGGTACATGAAGAAAAAAAATTCCTTTTAATGCTAGTATGTGAAAGACCTTTCTAACCATGATCCCAAATCCCCAAGTCATAAATTTAAATGTTAAAAATAAAAATAAATTGTGCATGGCAAAAATACCACAGGCAAAATCATTAGAAAAAGACTAATGAGTAAAAATATATGTGTGTAACTTCCATCTTTAAGAGCTATTTCCAAACACGGATTCCAGAAACTATTAAGAATCTGACCAGTAAGTCAATATAAAAATGGACAAAATGGATATATTTAAGCTAGGATAGTGGGCCTAGCTTCATTCATAGTAAGTAAAATACAAATTAAATCTACATGACAGAGGAAGGATTCTGGGAAGATGGTGGAGTCGTGGAGTCGGAAGCACCAGAAATCTCTCTCCCCTACCTAGAGTACAACTGCATTGGCAGTTTCTGCCTGATGTAAATATTTTGGAATTCTGGAGTCGACTGAAGGCTTGCAACTTATAGGGGAAGGCTTGAATGTAAATTGCAGTTAATTTTGGCCAATTTTAGCTCCTAGCACAGTAGCAGCTAGTCATCCCCCACCCCCAAGCTCAGTGGCAGAGGAAAAAAGAAGCTAATAGCCTAAATTTTCATAAATAGAGGACTAATAAATGCTGCATTCAAACAGTGGAAATACTATTAGCTCCGTAAAAAGAACAAGTTCCCTTACGTATGGATATAAAAACATCTTCAAAATCTCTGGGCGGAAGGAAGCTAGTTATAGAACAGTAGGTAAAAATAAGCCACCACTCCCATAGAAAAGGGGCAAAATTAGAACACGTATGTGAATTTGTTTCCATATGCAGATGGAAACTATGGAAGAAGGATGGCTGTGGGCACTGGACAGATGGAAAATAAGTGAAAGATTTTTCAGCCTATACTGTTATATTCATTTTAGAATTTTAAATCACAGGATTCTTCCCTAAGATTTTAATTTAGATTTAAAATAAGCTATGATGGGAACTTTGCAAATCTTTTATCTCAACAATTATGACGCATTGCATATAGTTTAGATCTAATCATCCTGCAGGGAGACTGGACAACAGATGAACTGACTTTTCAATTCTCCTTTCAAGTAGAAGATTTGAACTTGACAGTCCCACTTTTTTTTTTTTTTAACATTTAACCTTTCAAGGTTGAGCATTTCTTTGATACTTAAACCAAAGACAGAACAGAACCATAGTAGTAATCCTATTCAATATTCTGATCAACGCATTAATCTTTACAAAATCCCTATGAAGTCCTCTTTCAGCCTCCCTTTGAGCCTATTAAAACACACACCTTCATTACCTCACAATAAAGCCTATGCTCATTTTCAAGAACTGAAATCTGTTTCCCCTATGACTTTCCCACAATCCTAGTTCTAACACTAAGACAAGCCAGAATAAACGTTACTTTCCTTCTTCCACAAGGCAGTTCAGAAACTGGAAGACAAGTGCTGGCTTGTTTGTGAGTCTTCTCCTTTCCAGGGATTAACTCTGCCAGTTCCCCAACATCCTAAGGGTACTCTCCAATTTGTTCACAAATTAAGCATTCAACTGTTAAATAAAACTTAGTTACATCTAAGTACAAAAAAGCACATTGAAAGCTGTAACATACAAGTGAAACTCATTACAATAGTAATGTGCTTCCTAAAATGTGCAGGGTAGACTGGTCCTGATTCTCCTAAGATAGTGTGACCAACACAGACAAGTGGGAGGGCTGCTTCCCACATTCTAAGCACTATTAATTCACACCAAAAACAAATTAACTCTTCTTGGCAGTCACATCAACTGACTCACACGGTCCTTATCAACAAAAATTTCTAAAACATTCTTACATATGTTTCATTAAGCCACATTTCGTCTTGCTAGATGTGGTCTATTGTTCCATTTGATTAATATTTTGTTAGAATTCTAATTCCTTCACCTAATGACAGGTCATTATAAAAAACCTTTAGTTCAGATTAAGAAACAGGAAACCTGTTATTGCGTGGGTTCGTCCAGTTTGACACCATTAACATTCTTTGGGGCAGTTGACTTTACCATGATTTATCCTGTATTTTCGTTTTTCCCACATACTGTCTCCACACTAGTATGTTTACCAATGAATGCGTAACATTTTTCAAATACAGAGAAAGTTTTAACGTGAAAGTTATCCAATGGGAATTTTTAGAGAGCTTTTTATATGCAACTAAACTGCAGAAACTTAACTAGAACATAAATATCCTTGCAAATATCTAAATACAGCCAAGAGATTAGCCTTATAAAACACTTCAAATACTGACAGTGAAAGCTAAGTTTTAAGATTCTTGGCTGGCAGGGATAATTTATCCATAATAAACAGGAAAAACAATTTTCAAAGTTCAGAGATGTTTTATGTTTCTTAGGTTTTTTTTTTTTTTTTTTCCGTGTTCAATTTAGATTCTAACCTTTTCATTTTAAGTCACGATCAACTGAAGACTTAG